ACCGATAGTATGAGGTTTCTTTTTCTTTGCTATCATAAAAGCTATTTCAAACGAAGCTTTGACATAATGATAATAATGTTTATTGTCACAAAATACAGGTAAATATCAAATATTGTGCACAATTAAACATAAAGCACCCAAAAAAAGTTTGCACTTGGGTTTGTTAAAAATAAAAACTAATTCAAAAACTGTTAATACTGTATAATTTGGTGAAAGTCAGGAAAATATCCAGACAATTATAATTAAAGTAAAAGTATGGATGTTAGATCTACAATTTCGTGATGGAGTACCTTGGTTGTTGTAGAATCCATTTATTTAGTTCTTTTTTCAATGATTTATTTGATTTAATTACTTTTAATGACTCTGGTATGAAGTTATATAATTTCGGTCCCAAGAAAAACAGAGATCGTTGTGTAATGGTTTTTGATGTTTGTGGAATACACATTGAATTTTGATTGAATCTTGTTGGGTAGTTATGAATGGTACGATTCAAGTATTTCGAATATTTGAAATAATGTATTAGACCACAATAAAAATAAATGTGTCTGCAATCTAATAGACATATAGAAAATCACTTGAATAAGTAATCTCCCTAGGAAGGATCAATTTTAGAATTAATTTTTGGATTACATCAACCTTTTTGTAATTATTATTTATAACTCCCCCCCCCCCAAGCCAAAATTCCGTAAAGTAATAGAGGATAAACAAGAGCATAATAAAGATTATATAGATATTTCTTATCTAGAATATCTCTGAAGTAACTGAATTTTGGAATAATACATCTCAGTCAAGGTACTCTGTATGGGTATCCCATTTTAAGTGTTTGTCCAAAATCATGCCTAACTATTTTATTTTATCGGCTGACTGAATCTCTTTGAGACCACTGCTTGTATGAACTTCAAGTTTTTTAAATTGTGGTGAAAGTATGTCGTTACAAGAAAATGCTATACACGGTGTCCGCAAAGTTGGGGTTTTCCTTTACACGACGTGTAGATCTTGAAAACATAAGCAATTTTTCTTAGTACCATATACACCAATGTCTTAAGGGAACCGAGATAAAGGGCTCTGCAACATAAAAAATATCTGAATACCGTCCTGTAGCCGCGACATCCCCGAGTGGTACTCAACCCGACGACAGAACTGGGTCGGGGTCAGTGTGTCAGGTCAGTATGCAACCTTCAACCGACGGTTACGGCGACGCGTGTAGAGGTAATCGCGTAGACGAGAATCCCTCAACAAGCACTAGAGACGTGGCTAGAGAAGTGCAAGTATCAAAAACTAAAGTGTGGCAAACGCTGCGTGAAGAGGGGCTGTATCCGTTTCACGTCCAACGTGTACAAGCCCTTCAACCTGACTATTTTCCAGCAAGAGTGCGGTTTTGTGAGTGGTTGTTGCATCAACATGACAATAATCCGGACTTTTTGAAGTGCATATTGGTGACAGACGAATCTACGTTCACGCGTAATGGGGTGAATAACTTTCGCAACACTCAAGTTTGGTCAGTAGAAAATCCGCACGCTGTCCGTCGGGCACATTTTCAACAAACATTTACGGTGAATGTTTGGGCTGGCATGGTGACCGGTATGCTCATTGGACCATTTATTCTCCCAAATCGATTGGACGGGATGCAATACCTAGACTTTTTACGCAACATTTTGCCTTCCTTGTTTGCCTGCGTCTGCTCGGTAGCGCATCAGCTGATTTCATTTTCTGTTGGAGAGGTATGATTTCGGGCAGAGACGTACTTAGCCCTTCTCGTCAACTGGGGAGTTAGTACTTTTTCCTTTATTTTTTTTTTTACTTGGTCGCCCTCGTTTCACTACACATTACCTTTGTTATTTCAAGGGTAGATGTTTCTGAAAAGGAAAACCCCAACTTTGCGGACACCCTGTATAGTGTGTTTTGTTGTAATTAATTGTCATAGTTCTTTCCGAAAAGAAATATATAAATGTTTTGAAATCATGTTCCGCAAAACCGATAACTTTACCTGTAGTTCTTATTTTGAACAAATCGTTGATAAATAGATTAAATAAAATGGGTCCTAATACTGAACCTTGAGGTACACCGTATGATATAATATGGGGTTCACTGAATGTGTTATTAATTTTGACGTACTGTGTCCGATTTGACAAATAATTTTCTATAAGTTTGTATGTTATTCCCCGGAAACCTAAGTTTTCTAAAGTTGTTAAAAGCGATTCATGAGTAATAGAGTCGAATGCCTATGCTACGATACACCTGTGTGATAACTTCCCGATTTATCCAGTCTCATCCGCCTGAGTGATTCTGCTTTAGAAGAAATAACTATTTCGTCTTCAAAACCAGAGTACGATGTTGTTGCTTCAAATGCCTTTCAAGGCAATTGGGCATCGTGCTATCATTACTTAAAACTTTCATTCATATCACACACTGGGACAATTGTAACTCGTCTTTTTCTATGAAGGTGAATGCAAACTTAACGTAATCTTCGGGAAACTTTCTTTTTGTCGATGCCATTTTGCACCTATAACTATAAAACAAATAAGTAATAAATAAATAAGGAAAATACCTACATGTAATTACTAATTATATGCCCATTATTTTATCTTAATAACGTAATACGAGTAGATTCAACAGTATGGCCAGCGGGAGATTTATGTTTTTGTAGGCAGGTTGATGTTATAATAGTAATTTTAAATAATTTTAAATCAATATTAGGTACTGAAAGTTCTTCGTTTCAAAATTATTTCGCCACGTTGTTGGTTTGATTGTGATGTAAAAAGTCCCAATGGCTGATCTATGAACGCGTCTCTACTCCACCGACGATTTAGTAAATTAAATAAAAATGGTAACTGAAGTTTGTAAATACACAAACTTACCTTTTAACAGTGAGACCCAATAATTGACACACTCAAACAGATTTCTCAACAAAACACGTCAAATTTTTCTCAAGTTTGTGAGAATGAATGTCACGGATGCTGATCCGCGTCTGGTAGGTACACAATTCTTGTTTTCTAAGTGATGAATGCACGCCAATTTCATGTTGTGACTTGTCGAAACTTGTATAAACTGCGACTGACGATGCCGGGAGTTGAAACAGCAGTTGACAGAATAACTGAATATGACATTTAATATCTAATTTTATGCGTTTAAATCAAACGTTACATTGTAATGTTATTTGTTAATGTTGTTTGTTTATTTTTGTTTGTTTTTTCTTTCTAAAATGACATCTCTCTATGCCCTCCTTGGGAGGCGCGCCCCCCTGGTTGGGAACTCCTGGTCTAAGGACTTTCTCCGGTGATGAAGTTTTATTTACAAAATTAAAAATAATGTATCTACGACGCGGGTAAAGATACTGAGTAAGGTGAAAGACATCATCAGCAATAAACACACATCCAAACAAAACCAGGAACGTAGAAATTAGGATACCTGGGTTAAATAAGCTCAAAAAAGAAGATATCACAAATCGTATATCATTCTCGGACAGTAAATATGAGGAAAAAATATACATAAGGCTTGCAACACTATTCGTACTGCTTCAGGTATTTTCTAAACAGTCTCCCTGGCTCTCCTTGTGGCGTAGAGCACAATCCCGTTTTCAGAATGGGGGGCTGAAGATTTTCATAAAAATATTTTAGGATTTTAACTTCTGGAAAATTGAATGGTATTTTATAAAATGCAGTTGCTTAAGGCGAAAAGGATGGATTCAATTTTTTATAACCTTTTTTTATACTAGACACATAAGGGTTTTTACGGCTATTTTTTCGGTTATTAGCACGTCTTTTATGGAACGGCTTAAGTCCATAAAATATCGCATCATCCTTGGAAACAAATGAATTGTTGATTAGTTACAAACTGTCAAAATTAGCTTTGTGAGCATTATAATGAAAACGTGGTTGAAAATGAATTTTCCTAAAGAAGATATGGTGAATATGGTGTTCGTTATGGGAGCAGTGGAATATAGTAAAAAATGTATAAATAATCCAAGTGACCACCAGATATGACACCGATGGACTTCTTTCTATGGGGCTACGTTAAGCAAGAGGTTTATAGATATCCACCATCTACCCCGGAAAATATGTAGGAAAGGATTAAGGATGTTTTTCTGAACATAAGGGAACACATGCTGATGGATGTGCAACGGTCATTAAATCCAAAGACTACGGCTGTGTATTCAACATGGTGGAGATATTTTCGAGCAGTTTTTGTAGATTAGGCCTTGAGTAGTGATAGTTGTTTGTTTATTTTGTTGTTATAGTTTTTTTCTCTATTACGCTTGAAGCTGATTTTACGGTTCTGATTGTTATTAGTTTTTACGTCAAATCTGGACTCTTAGGAACTAGCCCACTGTTTGTCTTTTGTTTTCATGGATGATGCGACTTTTTTCCTTAATTTTGGTGTGTTGTTCTATTAAAAGCTTAATAACTCATCTGAATCAAACCTTATACCAAAAAAAAAGCTTATAAAAGTTGAATCCAAACTTGCACACATATACAGGATGATGCGTTTGAAATTTTTGAGAAAAAGTACAATTCGCGTTTTTGACCACCGTGTATAAGCAAAAATGAAAATTAGTAGTAGTATTATGTTATATTAATCTTCTTCGTTTGAATTGGTTTATCCAAATACGCAATAAAATTCGATGTATTCCGTTTAAAAAATCACAACTTTGATATGTAGGTCAAAATTGGGACACCCTGTATAATTGCCAATATTTTAGAAATGTGCCCTCAAATCTCATGTATAACATGCCACAAAAAGATTTTCCCGAAATGTATTTGTTTATGAGTAATATTCCGCCCACACATGGATGGTCCACCCTGTATACCACTTATTGCTGTCTCTAGATTAAAACGATGTACAATTTGAAAGATGTTTAAACATGATATAGTTGAGTATTGAGCCCACCACTCCGAGCTGGGGTCTCACAAACACCATATTCTTCGACATCAAATAATACTTTATTTTGAGACATTAATTCTAAAAATTGGATTTTAACATGCGGGTATGTCTTGTTCCAGGAATCTGTACGATCCCGTGTGGCCATGGACTTCACCGGGGCCGTTGGCCGGATTGTCGAGGACCCCCAGGAAGCAACTGCGATCGCGGCAGCAGAAGGGTATGTACAACGGTTTATCGCTTAAAATTACTTATAGACGCTTTATTCTCGACATGTTAAGATCCTCCTCGTACACGGAATGAGTAGGAGTTTTCTTGCAGGTATTCGTGGAAGCGTCGGTGGCGAGGCGGTGTCCGTTGTTCTGCCGCCACAGCCGCCCCCATTTCTGCTGTTCAGGCCGCCGCCACTGGGCCCAACCAGCGCCCTCTGGATGGCGGCGTGCACACCACACAGCCGTGGTTCCACTTAGGGATGACTAGGGATAAGGCGACTGAACTCATATACAAGTATGGCACTGTGGACGGGTAAGATACAGCTATTTTTCAAACCTATTTAAATTAATAAATATTTACTATTTATATTTATTTAAAATATTAAATTAATGAGGATCGAAAATACAACCCATGTTCAGGTGATTTCAAATCGTGCAGTCTATATTCCAGCAGAAACTACGGCAGTGCTGTTCGTGCTGTAGAAAATGGAGTAGCAGTGGTGCTTTGACAGGGTTGCCATGTTGGGGGATGTGTCCCGTAATTTGAGGATTTTTACTTTCAGACATTTTTGGAGATATATGGTTTGTTCGTACAGCTTGTTGGCTGACAATCAGCAAACTGATAGTCGGCGACAAGTCAGGACCTAGCTAATTCAGTTAGCTGTCACTTGAACCGATTACCGACAACATTTGGATTTTCTTTAAACCATAATAATCCAGAATTAATCGACCAGTTGCCCGGAAGTGTCTGAATTTTCCTCTAGGGGGGATAACAAGAAGCGAGCCCAGAACTTGACGAATGGAGTAGCAGTGGCGCTTTAACAGGGTTGCCAAGTTGGGGGATGTTTCCCGTAATTTGAGGATTTTTATTTGCGGACATTTTTGGAGATATATGGTTTGTTCGTACAGCCTGTTGGCTGACAATCAGCAAACTGATAGTCGGCGACAAGTCAGGACCTAGCTAATTCAGTTAGCTGTCACTTGAACCGATTACCGGCAACAGATACACAGAAACTTCTGACGATGACTGTCAAATTAGTTAGCAGACCATTGTCCAGTAAATTGTAAGAGCTCGAAATCAAGTACAATCATCATTAGAATGTAACATTTTTCAGTATGTGGTAGACAATTTTGGAAAGGTTCGGGTATTTTCATTTTCTGTAAACCATGATGATCTAGGATTTATCGACCAATTGCCAGGAAGTGCCTGATTGTTCTCTAGAGGAGGTAACAAGAGACGAGCCCAAAACTTGACGAATGGAGTAGCAGTGGTGCTTTGACAGGGTTGCCATGTTGAGGGATTTTTCCCATAATTTAAGGATTTTTACTCGCAGACATTTTTGGAGATATATGGTTTGTTGGTACAGCCTGTTGGCTGACAATCAATAAACTGATAGTCGGCGACAGGTCATGACCTAGCTAGTTCAGTTAGCTGTTTTTTAAACCGATTACCGACAACAGATCCACAGAAACTTCTGACTGTTTGATGACTGTCAAATTAGTCAGCAGATAATTGTCCAGTAAATTGTGAGAGCTCCAAATCAAGTACAATCATTATTCGAATGTAACATTTTTCAGCATGAGGTAGACAATTTTTGGAAGGTTAGGGTATTCCCATTTTCTTCATAATGATCCAAGATTTATCGACCAGTTGCCCGGAAGTGCCTGAATTTTTCTCTAGAGAGGATAACAAGAAGCGAGCCCAAAACTTGACGAATGGAGTAGCAGTGGTGCTTTGACAGGGTTGCCATGTTGAGGGATTTTTCCCATAATTTGAGGATTTTTACTCGCAGACATTTTTGGAGATATATGATTTGTTGGTACAGCCTGTTGGCTGACAATCAATAAACTGATAGTCGGCGACAAGTCATGACCTAGCTAGTTCAGTTAGCTGTTTTTTAAACCGATTACCGACAACAGATCCACAGAAACTTCTGACTGTTTGATGACTGTCAAATTAGTCAGCAGATAATTGTTCAGTAAATTGTGAGAGCTCCAAATCAAGTACAATCATTATTCGAATGTAACATTTTTCAGCATGAGGTAGACAATTTTGGGAAGGTTAGGGTATTCGCATTTTCTTCATAATGATCCAAGATTTATCGACCAGTTGCCCGGAAGTGCCTGAATTTTTCTCTAGAGAGGATAACAAGAAGCGAGCCCAAAACTTGACGAATGGAGCACCAGTGGTGCTTTGACAGGGTTGCCATGTTGGGAGATGTTTCCCGTAATTTGAGGATTTTTACTTTCAGACATTTTTTGAGATATATGGTTTGTTCGTACAGCCTGTTGGCTGATAATCAGCTAACTGTTAGTCGGCGACAAGTCATGACCTAGCTAGTTCAGTTGGCTGTCACTTGAACCGATTACCGACAACATTTGCATTTTCTTTAAACCATAATGATCCAGGATTTATCGACCAGTTGCCCGGAAGTGCCTGAATTTTCCTCTAGATGGGATAGCAAGAAACGAGCCCAAAACTTGACGAATGGAGCACCAGTGGTGCTTTGACAGGGTTGCCAAGTTGGGGGATGTTTCCCGTAATTTGAGGATTTTTACTTGCTGACATTTTTTGAGATATATAGTTTGTTCATACAGCCTGTTGGCTGACAATACGTAAACTGATAGTCGGCGACAAGTCATGACCTAGCTAGTTCAGTTGGCTGTCACTTGAACCGATTACCGACAACATTTGGATTTTCTTTAAACCATAATAATCCAGAATTAATCGACCAGTTGCCCGGAAGTGCCTGAATTTTTCTCTAGAGGGGATAACAAGAAACGAGCCCGAAACTTGACGAATGGAGCACCAGTGGCGCTTTGACAGGGTTGCCAAGTTGGGGGTTTTCCCATAACTTGAGGATTTTTACTCGCAGACATTTTTGGAGATATATGGTTTGTTGGTACAGCCTGTTGGCTGTCAATCAGCAAACTGATAGTCGGCGACAAGTCATGACCTAGCTAGTTCAGTTGGCTGTCACTTGAACCGATTACCGACAACATTTGCATTTTCTTTAAACCATAATGATCCAGGATTTATCGACCAGTTGCCCGGAAGTGTCTGAATTGTTCTCTAGAGGGGATAACAAGAAGCGAGCCCAAAACTTGACGAATGTAGCACCAGTGGCGCTTTGACAGGGTTGCCATGTTGGGGGATTTTTCCCATAATTTGAGGATTTTTACTTGCGGACATCTTTTGAGATATATGGTTTGTTCGTACAGCCTATTGGCTGACAATCAACAAACTGATAGTCGGCGACAAGTCATGACCTAGCTAGTTCAGTTAGCTGTCACTTGAACCGATTACCGACAACATTTGCATTTTCTTTAAACCATAATGATCCAGGATTTATCGACCAGTTGCCCGGAAGTGCCTGAATTTTCCTCTAGAGGGGATAACAACAAAAGAGCCCAAAACTTGACGAATGGAGCACCAGTGGTGCTTTGACAGGGTTGCCAAGTTGGGGGATGTTTCCCGTAATTTGAGGATTTTTACTTTCAGACATTTTTGGAGATATATGGTTTGTTCATACAGCTTGTTGGCTGACAATCAGCAAACTGATAGTCGGCGACAAGTCAGGACCTAGCTAGTTCAGTTGGCTGTCACTTGAACCGATTACCGACAACATTTGGATTTTCTTTAAACCATAATAATCCAGAATTAATCGACCAGTTGCCCGGAAGAGCCTGAATTTTCCTCTACAGGAGATAACAAGAAACGAGCCCAAAGCTTGACGAATGGAGCACCAGTGGTGCTTTGACAGGGTTGCCATGTTGGGGGATTTTTCACATAATTTGGGGGATTTTTACCTGCGGACATTTTTAGACATATGGTTTGTTCGTACAGCCTGTTGGATAACAATCAGCAAACTGATAGTCGGCGACAGGTCAGGACCTAGCTAGTTCAGTTAGCTGTCACTTGAACCGATTACCGACAACATTTGCATTTTCTTTAAACCATAATAATCCAGGATTTATCGACTAGTCGCCCGGAAGTGCCTGAATTTTCCTCTAGGGGGGATAACAACAAAAGAGCCCAAAACTTGACGAATGGAGCACCAGTGGTGCTTTGACAGGGTTGCCAAGTTGGGAGATGTTTCCCGTAATTTGAGGATTTTTACTTTCAGACATTTTTTGAGATATATAGTTTGTTCGTGCAGCTTGTTGGCTGACAATACGCAAACTGGTAGTCGGCGACAAGTCATGATCTAGCTAATTCATTTAGCTGTCACTTGAACCGATTACCGACAACATTTGCATTTTCTTTAAACCATAACGATCCAGGATTTATCGACCAGTTGCCCGGAAGTGCCTGAATTTTCCTCTAGAGGGGATAACAACAAAAGAGCCCAAAACTTGACGAATGGAGCACCAGTGGTGCTTTGACAGGGTTGCCAAGTTGGGGGATGTTTCTCGTAATTTGAGGATTTTTACTTGCGGACATTTTTGGAGATATATGGTTTGTTCGTACAGCCTGTTGGCTGTCAATCAGCAAACTGATAGTCGGCGACAAGTCATGACCTAGCTAGTTCAGTTGGCTGTCACTTGAACCGATTACCGACAACATTTGGATTTTCTTTAAACCATAATAATCCAGAATTAATCGACCAGTTGCCCGGAAGTGCCTGAATTTTTCTCTAGAGGGGATAACAACAAAAGAGCCCAAAACTTGTAGAATGGAGCACCAGTGGCGCTTTGACAGGGTTGCCATGTTGGGGGATGTTTCCCGTAATTTGAGGATTTTTACTTGCGGACATTTTTTGAGATATATGGTTTGTTCGTACAGCCTATTGGCTGACAATCAACAAACTTGACGAATGGAGCACCAGTGGTGCTTTGACAGGGTTGCCAAGTTGGGGGATTTTTAACAAGGAACACTTTTTGGGAAAAAACAACAGCACCAAAGAGTGTCAAGTAGATTTACTCAGTAATTCCCATTCAATTCTCATTTAAAAAGTGTGGACATCAAATCGAATTTAAACCCTCTATAAATAATATCCGTACGCCTCGGTCACCTCTCTCACTAGAACTGGCTGGAATTACAGCCTTGAAATTCTCATCATAGACAGTAATCAATCATGCAACTATACAGTCCTGTACATACATTATTATGTATTGTAGCCTCAGCTCCGTATGCATTATAATTAGCAGTTAACGCACCGCATACATTTTTTTTTCTCATTTATGAGGCTTTCCTACTGCAAATGTGCAAGACGATTGTTGCAGAACCTATAAGCGGAAACGCCCAGTCCAAGCAAACAGAAAAGATGCTTACCTTAAAGGATTCCATATTGAGTAGTCTGTAGTTTACAT